TAATGGAGGGTAACTGTTTAAGCCTCCTGTTAAATTAATTCAGAATCACGGCATCCGTGATCGAAACAAAACCTGTACCATTTTTAGTATGTAAAATGTAAAACTATTAATTTTTAAGCCTCCGTGCACTGGACGCATGAGTGACGCAGAAAAGTGTTGTTAAAATTAAACGATTAGTTAAGTATTCGGTTAACCTTTACTCGATTAATGGGTGAAATAGGAGGTTGAACAACCGGCCCTAATAGCCCAGTTATGCATACTTAGCTTTGCATGAGAGTTGTCACATAAGAATATGTTAAATGGGCTTTGCGTGTAAGCGGTTATCCAACGCATAGCACTTAAAGCGCGGTTAGTCAACGACGTAGAGTAAATGTAGGTTGACGCATGTAGCAGCATATCAAATTTACTGTTGATAGAGAGGGAGAGAAGCAATGGCAACGTCACCGCCATGCGGTGGTGAGTTTTCGTTAACACGCGAATCCCATAAGGTAGATCGTGTCTACGTCAACCTACGTCTACGCTACGTCGTTGACTGTTTGCGATTAAGGGCCGGTTACTCAATGTCTGGTTAACACTAATCTGCGGTTAAACATCGTTATCGACGTTACCGACTCCCTGTTATATGCATGCAGTCGAAGACGTCGATAACGATGTTTAACCGCAGATTAGTGTTAAACAGACATTGAGTAACCGGCCCTTAAACATGTAGAATTCTGTTGGGTTTTGATTTTTACGTAAAAATGGTATAGCAGTGCAAGTATGCATAACTGGGCTATAAGTATTGGGTGCCGTTCAGAATGTGGTATCATAAACGACAATGTCCTAATTGTCAAAGGGCCGGTTGTTCAATGTCTGGTTATCACTACCTACCAGTTAAACATCATCATCGACGATTTCGACGCCATGCATATAACATGTGATCGATAAAGCAGTGGTTATATAAAACCGGAGCTTCTACCTCCGATTTGTGTTAACCCGGCATTGAACAACCGGCCCTAAGTGAGCCCCAGTTACAAGGGGCTGCCAGCTAACCTAACCTAACCTATCCTAATAGGCTGACGCCCAGTATTTTGGAAAATTAACGGAATACTCAGACTCAAGGTCTGGTTAACACTTACCTTCGTTTAAATATCATTACCGACGTCGTCGACTCCATGCATATAACAGGGAGTCGGTAACGTCGATAACGATGATTAACCGGAGATTAGTGTTAACCAAATATGGTGAGAACGGCAGTAAGGGCCGGTTGTTCAATGCCTGGTTGACATTAATCGCCGGTTAAACATTGTTATCGACGTTACCGACACTGTTATATGCATGGAGCCGAAGACGTCGATAACAATGTTAACCGTGATTAGTGTCAATCAGGCTTTGAGCAACCGGCCCTAACACAAAAGGTTTGTAGGTTTCTAGCAGCGAATAATCTAGTAAGATCTGAGAGTTAGCCAATAAGCTTAGTCGATGTCGCCAAGAAAGTGCAGTCTTCAACTTAAGGCAGTTTAGCCTTGTACAGATTAAGCAGAGTGGGGAAAGAACGTCTCTTTAGGATCCGTGCTTAATAATGGGGTTTACTCTTAGCGTTCGGGAATTCGACTGGTAGCGGGGGTCAGCACAGATAAAAGAACCGTATTGTCACAAGGTCGACGTTGATTGTGGCCCTCACTAATTTGTATAATGATGGTAATGATGAAGAGGTAGTTGATGTCGTGGGGGGAATATGGACATGCTGGGCACCCATTGGGGGAGTTCGGGTCGAGCCTGGATCGGAAATGGTTTAGACGGTAACTGGGACAGTTGAAGCTCACACTCGTCAAATGGTGGTTGGACATTGATGATTGTTAGAGTTACATATGTTGCTCGGGTGAGCTCCTATGAGACGTGGAGGCTGTTTAGGTGTTGGGAGAGGCCGGCGCATTGCTCAAGTTGTGGGTTGCCGTAGAGGTAGTTGTTGCCACTTGGTTTGAGCAATATGAAGTCACAAAAGAGAAGACCCACTCATGAAGCCTAAGGTCTGAACAGGTGGAAAAAGTCTCCTCAAGAAATTTTAGTTGACTGAATTGTAGGAAGAAAATTAACAACACACCCCACCCCTTCAAATACTAACTACTTTAAACCCACTCATCTGGCATACCTCTGCCGCTGGTCCGACAATGTCCATTCTGCGTATTTCCTAGGCCACACTTTCGAGTACAACTTTTGAGCATTTCACCGAACAACATACAGGATAGCTGCAACGACAGCAATTTAGCAACCTTTTACTCACCAGTTTGAGCGTACAGATACCCAGTCATGACAAATTTTTTTGAAAACTTTCCTTTTCTTTTGGAGTTGAGCAGTAATTATGACCCTCTATTGCATGAACATTAGGACTAAGTGGAAGAATCTCAAACAATTAAAAAAACGCCTGCAAGTCATTATTTGTCTCCTGAAATACAAAATGAATTTATCGAATGCTGTGCAAGTCAAGGCAAACGCAACCACTAATTCGACGCACATTGAGCGGATGGTTTTCATTTTGCGTTATGTTTTATTCGACAAGGACCCTGGCAAATGGGGAAATCCCGCAACGATTATTCGAGTTTGTGGATTGCAACGTCAAAACAGGCGAATCTATCGCTAAGCTTATCCGTAGCACTCTACAAAAGCACAACATTTCACTGGCTGACTGTCGTGGGCAAGGTTGTGACAATGGTGGTAATATGAGCGGTACATTACAAAGGAGCACACAGAGTCATATTCTGAGAGATAACTCTCTGACAACATTCGCACGTTGTGCTTGTCATTGTTTACATCTATGTGGAACTCATGCAGCTGAATGTTGTATAGAAGTCGTCACGTTTTTCGGCACAATAAAGAAATTGTATACTATTTTTAGCATAAGCCCTCTGAGAAGGGAAATTCTCCAGGAGGAAACTAAATGTTCCTTGCATAGCATATCAGAAACAGCTACGGATCTGAAGGGTATTGTAAAGTATATGCAGAGTGGCCTCCATTTGGCTCAAAGTTTTGACGGCGATAAAATTAAAAAAGTAACAAGTAATTTTTAAGCAAAAAAACGACTTCGATTCTCATATAAAAATTTAAGATAATCGTTTATTTCTTCATGATCCAATGATCGGATTTATTATATTATTATAACCCTTACTAAGTAGAACTCTCCTTTCTGTGTTGCCGGAAAAGAAGAGCGGAAGTATATTTGCTCAGAACTTCTCTCTGCGTGGTTTCCTTTCATAAATAAAAAAATTTTAGCTTTTTAATTTAATTTGAAGTAACTTACCGCTGATTTTTGGCAATTTTGGCGCATTTTCTTCCATACTCAAAAAAAAATCTGATTAAGAAGTTAAAATTTTTGATCAACATTTCTTAAAATTTGTCGAAGTTTGAAATTTTGATTCACATGTTTCTATATTTTCATGAAAAATAATAAACATTTTTTAACAGAAAAGTAGCCAAAACTTGCTAAAATTTTACTTCCCTATTTACCTACATACATTGGTGCCACCGAATTTTTAAATTAATATTTTGTAAATTTTGCTCCGTACTACATATACTTTTACGTACTAGACGCTGAATATAAAGAAATTATTTATTATCCAAATATTTACTTAAACTACTGATATTCAAATACGAGCTCACTCCCCTCGCAATTTCGCTCGATCCATTCATCGAAACGCTGCGAAGCCTCTGTTGAAAAATAATTTTTCCAATCGCCGATTTGACCTTTCCGAATGAATTTAGCCTCTCCATCGCCATAATTGTGGTCGATATTATTGTTCTGCTCATCGGCGACATTCTTTAACAAAGGCTCCAAATTGACCGCAGGATTCGCCTGCATTTTATCGAATTTCAAATGTTCACAAATGCGCGTCAAGTCCTCGTCGCTGATTTGATAGTCGACATCGAGAAACTTCGCACAACTGCGCACGATTTTCGGCAGATCGCGCTTCATGTCTTCGTATTTCAAAAATAAAATATTTGGCTCATTACGGCGCTGCCAGAAGGGTAAAGCGTGGTTCCAGTAGGAACCCATCGGCGAACGCTCATCCAGAAACAGTTCAAGGAAGTCTTCGAAAGGTCCTTTCAAGCCATGCACCAACTTGCAGTAGTAATAGAAGGAGACGCACAGGTCCTTAGGATTTCGCGCAGTGTATATAATCTGGAAAAAAAGGGTATGCATTTGCTGGAGAAAACGTGTAGATTATTTAATTTTTTAAACTTTTCTTACTTTGGGCTTCACACTGTCGAAACCTCGCGGCAGCAAATCCCATGTTAAATGCGAACGACCGAATCGTGGACGTGACATGTCTCGTACAACGTTAACGGTGTTGCCAATTGAATTTCTTTGGAATTTGTAAAAACAAAACAATTACAGCATATACGCTAAATACTTGCAACGGCTTGGGTTTCCACTTACGAGACCCATTCATGATGATCCTCGCTAAAAAGCGCCGACAGTTCAATCAATGGCGAGCGTAACTGCTGCATCTGCTTGGCGCCCTCAAAGTCCAGTTTGTTGCCTAGCAACCAGACCATCTCCTGTGCCCACGTCGAACCAGTGCGCGGATAGGATATCATCCAAACATCATCTTCGTAAATCGGCAATTCCCGTATGGACTCCGCAATGTTCATGAATTTACGCGGCAGCACCACATGCCCAGGCAGCACCTCAATGAAACACTCCTTCTTGGGAAAGAGCGCATCGATGCGCACGGCAATGTCTTTATCCAATTCTTGAAATGTCAGCTGCATGTCTCAGGCGTGTTTTTGTGATCTCAAGGAGTGCAGACTATGTCACATCCGTTTGCGTTGAGATCTCGCGTATAACTATTGCACTTGCTAGCTTCAAATTCGCATCGAATTGGCGAAATCATGGCAATGTCTACGATGTAGCAGTTCACGATTGGAGGACAAAAGGTGGCGCCGGCGCGATCGTTGTATTAAAAATTTACTATGTATGCGTGGTGTGCAATTTTGTGTTTAATGTGTATCTTTTGCCCGAAATTGGTGGGAATGACAGTGAAAGCAAAATGCAAGGCATTGGCTTTTCAATTAAATTTTCCACAGCATCGCCCGTAGCAGCGGCAATTGGATGCACAAGAAACCGGTTGAAAATGCAGGTGAATATAAACAAATCTACATACGTACATATGTTCATACATCTAAGTAAGTGCACATTTAGTTAAAACCAATTTCGCTATTAGTCACAGACCGCATTCCCCTTCAGCGCAGCGCACCTCAAAACGGTTGTCTAAAAGATAGTTGTTTACAGGAGTTAGCCATGGCGCAAGTCTTTTAACAGATATAGGCGCGATTTTCATTATTATTATTTCTCGCTAGGTGTTTCCACGCCGTTTTATATCGAATGTTACGTGACAGGTCTTAGTCACAAAATGATCCTCAAATAGTGGTGAATTAAGCCCAAAATGATCCTGAACAGGTCCCGAACTGATCTGGAACTAGTTACCAAATGGCCCTAAAATAGCCCAGAACCCTTTAAACAAAGAAAAGTACGGAACTATATACCGACCACCACATATATCCTCCCCATTGGCACTCAGGGAAGAGATAAGGAGACCCTTCGCGTCATATGCGAATCCACCGGGCGGTAAGTAATAAACTAGGCTACGTCAGTGTGGGCCATAAGGAACAGCGAGTCTCTACTAAACCTGCCCACTTGCCACTCTTCAAACTACCAGTGGACACCTAACGACGTCCCAGGTTGCCCTCTTCAAACTACCAGTGGGCACCTAACGACGTCCCAGGTTGCCCTCACGATGAGGCGAAAATGCTTCAGGTTAAACACCACAACAAGTTTATCTCTAATCAGTGTTTGTTCAGCTATAACAGGCCAAATACCCTAAGCATAACCTTATATTGTAGGCAGAACGATGTCACCGCGCTACTTTAGCATACATGTAAGTCAACTGGAAGGATATAAAGTTAAGCAGGCGCTAAATACAACTTACTTTATCACGAAGCGGTGGAAATCGTCATCTCCCCTTTCCGAAAAAGCATCGTACTAGGAGGCTCTCAAAATGGGAAACACAGGAGAAACGTGAACTATCATAGTTCAACTCAGATCTTCCTGTGGGCTAAGCTCATACAAAACCAGTATTGATCCGGAGATAGCAGACCCATGCCTAACATTCGCAAACCGTCCGCACAAATATTCGCATCTCTTATAAGAGAAATGACGGCCTTTAACTGATGCAAATTTGTTTGCATTTCCGGTACAATCGAAGACGTACTGCAGGAAATGTTAAATACGATGTCTTCCGAAGTAAAATATTTTGGTTTAATCCTATTCCGAGCAAAATACCTCCAAAGCCTTAACATCGTCCTGGAAATGTGACCAGTCCTTTGGTAAAACGTAATTAACTATACATCTGTGGTGTGGTAGTGTAGGCCTTTAATCAATAACGTGGGAAATATGCTTGCGGCAGACTTCAGAAACAACGGCAGTGTGATCTACGACAGCTGTTCCTACAACACCCGGGTCTGCTCTGAATGCAGTGCTAAATTCACCGTCACTTAGAATTTTTGATCCGCGGGGAAGTCCTTAAGGCCACCTGTAGGCTTAAAAAAATGGGTGCTGAGATGGAGGCCCCCACTGTGATGGAAATACCAAATGGAGAAGGACTTTGCTTCTCTTGGAATTACCAACTGGCGTCAGTCGGCACAGAACAAAAGCGACTGGCGTGCTTTGTTGAACTCGGCCAAAATCGCTTAGGTGGTTACAGAGCCAAAGGAGAAGAAGAAGAAGTTATGGTACAGTGTGGAGTGAGGCGGAAATTTCTGGAGGCAGAAATTTAGATTTGGATGTCTTTTTGATTCCACAGGATGGTACATCACCGTGGGCTCTCCCGAAAAGATACCACAATGTCGAGTCTCCGGTGTACGTTTTAGTACCTTTTCCATCGTTTTATTTTTATCTGCAATACGCCCACTCCGTAAGTTTGTGGTGTTCTTAAAATTAAGTAGGTGAACGATTTGAGTTAACTCTTTTTTCGGTCAATTTGGTTACGCCAAATGCCTAAAATGCGAGTGAAACCAACTTCACACTCTTCGTACTTTTTTTTTAACAAAAAGCCTGGCTTCCAAAATTTATGCACGTCAAACACTTAGCCATATATATATATATACATATATATATGTATGCAACCTTCTGCACATATTTCTAAGTATGTTCATATACGTCAAGTGCATTCACACTCAGCGCGCGCTTAAGAAGTTCAAGTCGAAATTGTTAAAAAGCGGAATTCTGAAAGAAAGTAGGTAAACCGCAAAGAAAATAACCAATCTGAGCCACTTTATGCGCTTAAATTGAGTGGTTTCGGCTTGAAGAAGCGCTTGCAACACACACACACAACCGGATACACAACCACATTTAGTTAGTTAGTATGTACGCTTGCAAGTTGAGGCGGAACGCTGCTCAGCGCTAGATTGCTGAGCACTGACGTGTATCTTTGCCGTCGCCAGACATTCATAGCTTACTAAGCAGCAACTCTGTTCTCAGCGTTTGGCGTTTGTGCGAAAGTGCAATTCCACTCAAGCGCCGATGAAGTAGCTCGCGCTTCTCGCAGATCGTTGGCGCAGTCTCGAGTAGTCTGGCTGGCAAAGAAGTGATTCGCATTTACCTGTTGCACAGTGAAAAGAAAGTTCCTAAGAAAGTATAACGTCTGTATGCGAAACGAGCACCTAGCAGTAGTTTGTCTTCTTGCCAACTAAACGGACGCTTTAGCGCATGCGCGGTGCTAACTTCTACGTTTTCATATCTACCTAGTAGCTATTACTTCTTGTGCATTTTAATTCGTGGTCGCTGGTTTGCTTGCGTGTTTTGCATATACATACCTGTGATTTTGGTGCCACAGACGTAAGGCATAGTTACAAATATACATACATACATACATTCATATTACGTTTTAACGCTGGTAGTTGTTGCGCGCAATCGCGTTCGGTCGACAAAAGTCAGCCGCGTGTAGCAAGTTCGGAACGTGATAGACTTTGTTTTTTGCGTGCATATTGTGAAAGTTACTCTCAACATTGTCGCTAATTGGCAGCTGCAACACAACTATGTTGCTGCTACGAAAGGCCGTTTTATTGCTGGCGCTGCTTTGCGTGCACGTATCCTTTACCCAGTCGTCGAGCCAACAGCAAGATGATGCGAATCCGCTGCTCGATATGGCCTCCATGTTCATACAAGAGGCGTTGAACAACCAAGCGGGCAATGGTGGTGCCAGCGCGGCTGGCGGGGTAGGCGGTGGCGCTGGGCTCGCAGGTGTCGCCTCTCTCATAGGTAGCTTTATGCAGGCCAACGCTGGCGGCGGTGGCTCTGCCGGGCAAGGTAAGGCGGCCGCATCCGGTGCCATGCAAATATTATCCGGCATCGGCAGTTTGCTTGCCAATGCGGGCCAAAATGGTGGAAATGCTGGCGGCAGCGCTGGTGGTTTCGATCCGGCCATCATCGGCAATGTGCTCGAAATGTTTACTAACAGCGATGCAGACTCGGAAGATGCGGGCGCTGGTGCGCGTAGTAATGGCGGAAATGATGCTGGCATCGGCTTGGACTCGATACTACAAATTGCCTCTGTGTTTATGAACGCCAACACGGGCGGTGGAGGCCAGCAGCAGCAGCAGCAGCAGCGACAAGCTCATCATCAGCAAAGACGCTCAACGCACGATGATCTAAATATGCGTCAGAACGAAGTTGACGAAGATTCCGAGGATAACGGCGGTTTGATGAGTCTCTTGCCCTTGGTCATGCAGGCGGTTAGCTCGTTTGCAGGCCCAGAGGGACAGCAAACACAAGAGAGGCACAAAGGTCACGCCTGGGTGTTGCCACCGTTCTTGGAGCATTTACATGTTGTGTGGGATCACTTCTCGAACTCGGAACTCGCCGATGCGCTGTACGAAAAGTCAGGCGTGAACAAAATCTTAAAGGTAGTTCCCCTTAATACCCGATTGTTTGCTTGCTTTAGTAATCGACTTGCGTACTTATTTTATATTTATGTGCTCTAGGGATTCAAGGGCCGCGATGGCAAATTAGACTATGACAAACTTTTCGATTCGCTGAACAATCAGTCATTCCGCAGACGTTGGATCAAGTCGGCGACGCTCTACCTAGCCGACTGGGCCAGCTATTTGGCAAATCCGGAAGTCTTTCTCAAGTAAGTTTAAGCAAAGCAGTGCTACATATACTAAATATAATGGTAAATAGTGCAAACGAAACCTGTTAACTCAATTGTACTTGTCACTTCAAACTACAAGTGTATCGTGCAGAAACTACAGTTAGTCCAGCTGATTATTAAACACACAAAAAACTTTATTTCTCATATGTGCTTGAGTTTGAGCACCCTTTCATCAGTGTCACACAAATAACTCATTCTCCTAAAGCCCAAAAAGAAAACCAACAACACCAATTCCTTCATATTTAAACTCACTCATAATCATATTTCTTTTCATAGTTCTCACTTTGGTATTTACGAATTTTTCCATACCGGTTTTTTTGATTTTATTTTGATTTACTTTCGTCTCCTTGATTTTGTCGCTTACTCATACAACCTCAAAATGTTGCTGTTACCAAAGTGTTGACCCACTTTTCGGCATGTTTTTCTTGCCTGCTAGAACCGGTGTGTTAGCGACACGATCCGCCTCGCATTTATGGCACCGCGACTCAACCAGAAGGCGTTTTCAAAGGCATCAGCCCAGTGCCTTACTTTGTCACTGCCGACACTTAAACCTGGGCTTTGGCATTGGCTTTGATTGCGTCGCGCAAAATTTTTCTTCAATTCAATTTCAGGTGTTACAGTTATTCAGTTAGCGTCATGTTCTTCTTACAATGTTAATTATTATTGTAAATAGAGAAAATAAATATTTTATTCTTGTCACGATTCGTTTAGTGAGGTGCCCTATTTGGCTCAAATTAATTGCTAATTGAAATTGGGTTGAGTATAGTGGGTTGTAGCGACGCGTTTTCGCAGAGTTTGTAAGGTTTCAACTCCAATATATATAGACACATGCCGAAGCTAACCATTCATATTCTGCATATTAAGTTTAATTGTTTTAGTTGTAGGTATACTGAAAGCCTAATTTGTTAGTCTAAGGGAAAGCACTAGCTCCACTCAATAGACATAGCGCAATATCGATTGGTATGAAAAAGAACCTCCAGAGGCATCTTTCAGAGCGGCGCACTGTCCTCTTCTCTGTGGCGCATGGTGGTTAGTGAATACTTATTAAAGTTTAAAACAAAAGAAATAAATACCACCTATGTCGGGCTATATATGTATGTATGTACCTAGCTCATCCAAATTCCGGCCCACGATAAGGTACCAAAAGAAAGATTACGGCATCTTTGAGTATTATTTATTTAGAAATGGGATTTTCTGTTCTTCGGTTGGCAGTAGCTTTGCCAGAGCATTGGTCCAGGGCCCGATACCATTTTCTTGAAGGTCTTGTATTGTCTGCAGGGACAATTCGTAGGTGTCTTCAAAGTGCTTCGACTTGTCGACGAATCTACATATTTATTCTTTAAATGCAACATTAAATGATTTTACAAAACGAATTCGCTTATTGTTTCTGGCCTTTCAGATACCAGAGCTGGATATCTCCAAAGATAATGTACGATACCGTAAATTGTACTCGAGGCCTATTTTGGCTGCAATTTCACCGAGGGCGCCAGTGTATCATGATTGTGGCTGTTAACCGGACGACATCTTTTCTTGAGATATTCCGTTTTTGATTTGTCTTACAATTTCGCAGATTTGTTGGTTGTTCAAATGCGTTTTCTATTGCTATTCCTGTAAACTGTAAATGTTTGAGTACTCCTTCAAATATTTCACTCAATATTCCAAAGCTCTCTCGTTCCCTAACTCTTCCGATTGGAAAATTCTAGCATCTAACAATTATCAAAGAGTGCGCCAAATAGTACAAATGGTAATAGAATTATCCTCGATTAATCTGCCTCTATTACGATCTATAGCAGTTTTTCTTCAAATCCAGTATAGGAGTTATGTGGTCCGATTGATCCCTGATTCTAAATGGCTGTCACGAACACAACAAGGCCTATATTTCCTCGCCCTCCAATAGCCTGACTCTTTAAGTCAGACATTAAGCGTGCGAGTCGTGAAACAAAAAGTAAAGCAAGTTATAGCAAGAAATATCCTCATGAAACACAAAGTTGTGCGATAATTTAACCTGGCGTAAACCAAAGCAGCTCATTAAACTCAATTAATGTCTTTTTTTCGTTTTTTTGGTTATTCCGAGGGCTCGGATTGACGCTAAGAGTACTTTCCGAGGTCGACAAACAAAGCTCCCTTTAACATTTCGCTAATTGTTCAACGAAAAAGATACAGGACACCAATGTTGCCATATTCATAGTTTTGACTGTAACTCGCAGTTGTTTAGACAAGCTTACAGTTTTCTTCAATTATGTACTAGTATAATTTACAGTTTTGTTATAATTTCACATTTTAAAGAATAAATTAAAAAATATGTCTTTTGATTTTTTTGGAAGTAGAAATGCAGCATATTTTCTTTTGAATAAAAAGAGGTACGATGTATTCCAAACATTCGAAAAATAATTTCGTTATTGAGGGTTACAGTTTTTTTTGTTGGAAATAAAGTGTTTTTTCTTAGAATTTACAGTTTTTTTAATAAAATCTGTCAATACTTATGCGACAATCTTCACTGCTTGTTTGTTGAGTTCTAGTAAAAGTCGTTCAACGCCACCGCCAAGGGCAGCATAGAATAGTGTTACTGGTTGAAATTATGACGCTATTGCTTAGCATCCATTCGATCTATCTGCATATGGGGTTAGATACACCAACGTTCACAAGCGATTGTTATATTGTTGAAATCTCCCTCCATGCCATCTAGGCAGCAAGTGCAGTGCTTCGTAGAGGGCGCGTCGTTGAAACACCTCAGATGGCAATTTAATTTTTTTTTTTTTACCAAGCAACCAAAGTTTTCGTTCTGAGCCGTAATTTTTTCACTGCCTTGTTTAAGATATTTTTTTATGGACTAAAAATATTTCTAGAATATGCAATTTCATCTTAACGGATATAACGTATTAAATATTTGCGCTAAATTTTATGAGATTTTAAAAATCTATACTAACACAGCTGAAAGCGAAATTAACATATTTTTAAACGTAATAGAGGTCATATATGTTTCTTGTGTGTAAATACCGAGTGCATTGTTTGAAAAGGTGTATCTGATGACTAAGACTTTGACTATAGCAAATTTAAGACAGTAACGATAATGCAAACATGTACATTAGACTGTACCAAAAAACAATGTTCGTCGTATGGGCTCAAATTATTTTTGCAAAACAACATTGGACAAAAATATATATAGCGGGTCGGCTTTTTACATTTTTTTTCATATCTTCGGAATTTACAGTCAAGTCTTAAAGTATGGTATACTGATGTTCTTGTCTCGAGTATTAAATGTTCTTTTGTTCCAAAGCTCATTGACCTCAAGTGTCCCGTTCCAGTACTTACCCACTAGATCACAACTCTAAATCACCCTAAGCTACTCGCATTGCTCGATACCCGGGTATCTAGAGCTCTAGTACATACATGCATACATATTAATTTTTTGCTCTTCTGAAAATGTTTGTCATCAGACTTTACAGATAATGCGAAGCCAATACATTTGTGTTTAATTGTTAATTCCGTTTACGTAAAAATATTTGCGTACTCAGGGGATATCAGCCGCGTTAAGTCTAAACAACATTAAAAAACAAACAAATTTAAATTGCTGCTAATTTGTTGAAAATGCAGTTCGCTTGCACAAGTATTTAAATAAATGTCTCACCAAGTTACATAATTTTATAACAAGCAGTCAAAAATTAAAATTTCGATTAAATTTATCTATATTACAACTACGACTTACTAGAAAACTAAACCAAAAATGTCTATAACTCAAAGACCTATATTTTGAAAGGTGACAGGTAATAAGATCAACGGAAATAAGTTCAATTGACTTTACTTCCCACCCTGGTGCGAAATAAAGTCAATTGACATTATTACCATTTTAAAAACGAAATAAAATCGCGCTCACGCTCGCGCCAAGCGTACCCCGCACGACCGGCGCTCACTCCACGTCACGCTACGCCGCGGCCCCCCGGCCCCCCCTTCCCCGTCTCCCGACGTGCTGTAACGCAGGTATATTTATTTTTTGTATACGTTGAAATAAAATTTTTATATATTTTAAACATCGAGGGCTTATATTCAATAATACCCCCTATCTGCACACTTTTCACAAAGATGAGATTCTGATATAAAAATCCACCTAAGCTTTAACTGTCATCAGTGATATTAATGCTACCTTATATAACGACAGGTAATAAGTCCCAGATGGTTTCTAAAATCACAAATTAGTTTTTGTGCAAATTGCAGATAGAGGGTATTAATGAATTCAAGCCCTCGATATTTCACATTTTTATATTTGTAAGTTATTGGAAGCAGGGATGCCAACTTGGCTCAAACCGTGCCATTTGTTAAATAAATACTGTAATAATAAAATACACAGAAGTATGTAAAAATATAGATTTTTGAGTTATAGACGTTTTTGGTTTAGTTTTCTAGTAAGTAGTAGTTGTAATATAAATAAGTTTAATCAAAATTTATTTTTAAGTTTTTGTCATACAATTTTGTAACTTGGCGAGACATTTATTTAAATACTTATGCAAGCGAACTGCACTTTCAACAAATTCGCAGCAGTTTAAATTTATTTGTTTTTTTAATGTTGTTTAGACTTTATGCAGCTGCTATCCTCTGAGAATACAAATATTTTTACCTAAAAGCAATTAACAATTAAACACAAATATACTGGCTTCGCATTATCTGCAAAGTCTGATGACAAACATTTTCCGAAGAGCAAAAAATTAGTATGTATATGTACATACATACACTTGCGATCAGCTAATTA